ATAGTAGATTAAAAAAATAAAAGAAGCATAGTTACAAAAAAAAAGCAGTAAGGAGAATTTCAATTGGCTCCACTGTAACTGATCCTATGGTAAAATTTCAATTGGCTCCACTGTAACTGATCCTATGGTAAAATTCATAATTGTCTTCTTCCTCAGCTAGCAATAAATCCCAATTTCATGCAATAAGAGTCTCCGAGCCAAATTCTCTCTCAATCTCAAACTCTTTTTCTTTTGTGCCAAAATTGATGCCAAAAACAAAGAATATAGTCATAGATAGAGAACCTCTTATCTTTTAGTAGATGGAAAAGCTGTGCTACTGCCATATTGGTTTAAGCATGTTCAACTGTCAGATTACTGAATGAATAAAAGGTGACACATAAGATACCATAGATTCATTTGATTCGATATCTGTGTTGTATTACTCATTAATTTACCTTGTTTCTTGCTGCTGTTTGTTGTTCTGCCTCAGACATTTTCCCATAAAAGTTAGAAAGTAAATTGTCGTGTTGTCAAAATGAAGTTGATACCAATCTAATTAGATTAATTGTATAGAATTTGTGAAATAGACAATCCTAACGAACTATCTTTGACTAAGTACATGAAATACATGAGCATCGGGAGCTAGACCATCATGCATTTTGGACAAATCTTGAGAGCTGTGCAGTTCATGCACATAAGAAAGAAAACTCTGTATAGGAAAAGGTAGTTTCGAGTTTTAATCGCTTTCCAGATCGAACATTTTTCACCTAAGAATAAGTTCGACTTGTGAAAATATATCTACTGCTTTTAATCACGGTTTTAATGGAAATCATTCTTCCATACGTGTGACTTTCTTAAGATTCTTGATCATGAACGTGATATGCTATAGACAAGCCTTAAAGTCTGCACAGGTCAAGCATACGAAAAAAAAATCGCCTAGGCAATGATTTTCCTCAATAGTTTAATGCAGCTTTTCTAACCATGTGATAAAGCAGTGAAGTCTTGACACTGAGCTCTATGAGACTTTTAGAACGAGGGTGAGGATCATAGAGGTTAACTATGAATTTGGGGAATGTCATTTGTGATTATAAAAATTCCGAGAATACGGGAATCCGAGATTCCCATAGAACTCCTGGGATTCCCAGAATTCTCGTGGGATTCTCGTATTCCTGTAATCCCGAGAATCCCACGTGAATCCTGGAAATCTCATGGAAATCCGGAAATCCCGGAAATCCAAAATCCGCCGTTTCCCTCTTGGTCAAACTATGCTTCGGGACATAAGGTTTTAATTTTAAAAAAGTATTAGTTAGTCAAGCCAGAAAGAGATCCGTAGTTCAGACACAGATTCTTTTTTGCTCCAATCCAGAAAAAGAAACTAATTTTTAGCAGAATCGCTGATCCACTTTTTCAATAAGTTCCTTTTTTCCCTTAAAAATAGCTACTATTGTGCATGGTAATGGTTGTAATAAATTATAAATTTCGTTCTTCACATGAATTCGTTAGTTAATATCAAACAATGATTTCCTTTCTATTATAGTGCGGCACCATATCTCCGATAAATCTTCTGGTAGGACGCCATTTTTCTCGGACATTACCTTTGGATTTTCGGCCATTTTATCACTAAACTACGAATCGAAATAAAAATTTTGAGATGCTTTGTTAGAGAGAAATGCAGGCTTCTCTATTTACACCTTGGAGAAGAATTTAAGATTTTCTTTTAAAAACCTTCTTATAAATACTGCAAAATAATTATTAGAAAGCTACCTAAAATATGGGAGTCGGATAATTATAAAAGTGGTATGAAAAGATGTCAATACAAAATAGAATTGAGCCTAATTTTCACGCAAAAATAGAAGTGGATCTGCGTTTACAACAAACGAATACTTTTCTTCTGAAGACGACGACTCTTTATTAGTCTGATTTTATCTAACTCCGTGGAAAAATTTATAAATTAACACGTCTAAGCAACGCTACCAGCATGAAAGAAGACAATAACACAAAATTCTGAAATTCTATTTGTGTTGAATTATTACTATTTTGAATCTTGTATGAAAAGTAACTAAAAAAGACGAAACAGCTACTAGCCAACCTCTTACCTTAGCATCGTCTTTCAAAGTATTCAAAAAGTCAGAGTTGGTCAAAAACGCCAAGATCTATTATTATCGATATTGGCCGTGACGTTGGCGGATTCGACGGTATTGGCCGTGACGTTGGCGGATTCGACGGTATTGGCGTTGGTGGATGCGGTGAAGCTGATGGCACTTGCACGTCCATGCTGAACTTTTTCACTCTTCTCCAACTCGGACATGGGCTCATGATTTGAGATTATCTCAATAACTAAGAAACAAGAAGAATGATATCTCATAATCAGACAATAGAAATTAATTGTGAAATAAGCAGTTGAAGGCGTAGCGACCATGGAGGAGGTAGTGCAGGGGTTACCCTCGCCTGCTTTTGAAAATTTCGTTTTTTTTTGAACAGCAAGATAAAAAAGGTGTTCTTTTCTAGCGATGTAATGACTCGATGAATATGAGCAGAGACACCTCCCTCCTCCCCCGTTTGAAATTTTTACCCGACTTCCCTGCCTCAAAGACCTCGCTACGCCCCTGTAAGCAGTAGAACTATTTCTTGCACAGTCAAATAAATCAAGGGATCATACTCGTATCTGAAAGCCACTTGGATAGAAATAATAAAGCCTTACTTTCGTACACTCTTAAATGGTTTATGCTCCAATCATACATGCTTTAATGGTATGCTACTGATATCTGAAAGTTTAGTGTTCATTTATTTATTTTTTTTAACACTCTAGTTGAACGCCATTTAAGTGGGAGAATAAATCCTAGTTCTCTGTTGTTCGCAGACGAATTATGCCGGTTTGAGTGAATTGATTTTTCAGGAATTTATTACTAAATTGCTCCATTCATCCAATTATCTATGTCTGCTCACAGTTGATAATTAGTAAGAGATAATAATGAGAATGTGGACAATCATTATCTTTTACAAAATAGTTTGCATCTCATGACGCCAGAATACAAAAAAACATTATTTCCATTGCTTCATGCAACTAAAAAAAATCAGAGTTGAGATCTTATGCTGAAAGAATCCATTTCACATTCTGCTAATACATGTTTGAAGAGAAAATAATTTATTAAGTTTTCAGATTACATTGTTTCGATGTGCAAGCTCTTCTGTATGATCGAGCACATCAATAAGCTCTACGAAACAATATATAAATAAATTCAAATAATTTTTTTCACTTACTAATTACTGAATAGCCTCATCAGATTTTTCTGAAAACTATCAATGTCTGATCTTGACACCTTGTTACTACTAATTCATGTGTAAGATCAATATTCTCTTTCATAATAGATGAATAGAAGAAAATATACGATCGATTTCTTCAATGAAAAGTGTTATTCATCTTGGCTGTTATTCAGAACTCATCTCTGCTTAACCGGTTTCGTCTAGAGGTGGCAATTTAACTCTAAACTTTAAAAGTTAAAGTGGTTAAAGTTAAAGGCTAGGTGTAGGAAATTACCGTCTACCGAACCGTTACGATTACCGGTAACTGGTGCCCTTGAACCCTCAAATCCTATTATTCGGTGGTATCCCTGGGTCCTCAAGTCCTATTATAGGGAAGTATCCTCGGGTCCGCAAGTACTAGTATAGTGAGTACCCCTAGGTTCTCAAGTAGTAGATCAGCGAAAAATGGTTTCATCATATTTTACTTAATTCTAAAGAGAAATGAATGGCGCTTTATATTCAAACTTCAGAACCTCAATATGTTCTTTTTTTCTAATATCATTAAAAAAATAAGATAACGTTTGGACACTTTCAACCTGTTATTAAAACGCATTTGTTGACTAATAATATTTGATCAAAAGGAACTTCACTCTATACACCATAACAAAAAACCATAAAATCATTAAGTGCGACTTCTACAAAGGTCTTTTCTAATTGAATATCTTCTGGTATACAAATTCATGTTCGATTTTCTCATCTATTCTTCAATGAACGCGAGATTTCTCTTTGTTTGATTAAGACGACAACTAATTACTAATCAATTGGATGAGTAACAAGTCGAACACACTAGAAAAGTGAATTATATTAATTTCGTTTTAAGTCAACATTCGTTCACACTAAGCAATTAAATCACCAATGAAAGTGGAGGGCACACCTCTCTCATGTAGCTAAAGTGCATAATAGAAAATGTTACTGCAATGAGAGATGTCTCTACCGTATGGTACGATTTTGATCAAGGTATTATTAGATACGTTTTTACAGTTATAAAGTCTATTGAGTCAACTTCTATAAACAATTGATCTTATCTTATTAATAAAAACCAGGCATAGTCTTAACAATACTAGTTCCATCAATTACTTTAAACCGTATTTGAGACCAAAAGAAACGATTTAAAATAAAGAAGAATTTCATTAACAGTTTATTTTAAAGAAGCAAAACAAGAGATTCTATAACAATTTTTATAACAAAAAAAAAGACAGA